GATATGGGCTTTAGACAGGTGATATACGGCTATAAACAGGTGATATGCGGCTGTAGACAGGTGATATGGGGCTATAGACAGGTGATATGGTGCTGAAGACAGGTGGTATGGGGCTATAGAAGGTGATATGGGGCTGTGGACAGGTGATATTGGGCTATAGACGGGTGATATGGGGCTGTGGACAGGGGGTAAGCGGCTGTAGACAGGTGATATGGGCTTTATACAGGTGATATACGGCTATAGACAGGTGATCTGCGGCTGTAGACAGGTGGTATGCGGCTGTAGACAGGTGGTATGGGGCTTTAGACAGGTGATATGCGGCTATAGACAGGTGATATGGGGCTGTGGACAGGTGAGACAGGTGCTATGGGGCGTGATATGGGGCTTTATACAGGTGATATACGGATATAGACAGGTGATATGCGGCTGTAGACAGGTGGTATGCGGCTGTAGACAGGTGCTATGGGGCTTTATACAGGTGATATACGGATGTAGACAGGTGATATGCGGCTGTAGACAGGGGATATGGGGCTATAGACAGGGGATATACGGCTACATATAGGTGATATACGGCTTTAGACACGTAATAGTGCGCTTTAGACAGGTGATACGGGGCTATAGACAGGTGATATGGAGCTATAGACAGTAGATATGGGGTTGTAGGCAGGTTATATGCGGTTATAGACAGGTGATATGCGGTTATAGAGAGGGAATATGTAGCTATAGACAGGTCATATGTAGCTATAGGCAGGTGATATGGGGCTGTAGACAGGTGATATGGGGCTATAGACAGGTGATATACGGCTACATATAGGTGATATACGGCTGTAGACACGTAATAGTGCGCTTTAGACAGGTGATACGGGGCTATAGACAGGTGATATGGAGCTATAGACAGTAGATATGGGGTTGTAGGCAGGTTATATGCGGTTATAGACAGGTGATATGCGGTTATAGAGAGGGAATATGTAGCTATAGACAGGTCATATGTAGCTATAGGCAGGGGATATGGGGCTGTAGACAGGTGATATGGGGCTGTAGACAGGGGGTATGCGGCTGTAGACAGGTGATATGCGGCTATAGACAGGTGATATGTGGCTATATACATGGCATATACGGCTATAGAAAGGTGATATGCGGCTATAGATAGGTGATATGGGGCTAGAGACAGGTGATATGCGGCTGTAGACAGGTGATTTGGGGCTATAGACAGGTGATATACGGCTACATACAGGTGATATACGGCTGTAGACACGTAATAGGGCGCTTTAGACAGGTGATACGGGGCTATAGACAGGTGATATGGAGCTATAGACAGTAGATATGGGGTTGTAGGCAGGTGATATACGGCTGTAGACAGGTGATATGCGGTTATAGACAGGTGATATGCGGCTATAGAGAGGGAATATGTAGCTATAGACAGGTAATATGTAGCTATAGGCAGGTGATATGCGGCTATAGAGAAGTGATATGTAGCTATAGACAGGTGATATTGGACTATCAGCATGTGCTATACGTATGTAGATAGATGATATGCGGCTATAGACAGGTGATATGGGGCTATAGACAGGTGATATGGGTTTATCGACAGGTGACATAGTCTGTAGATAGGTGATTTGGGACTATAGACAGGTGATATGCGGTCATCGACAGATAATTTGTGGCCAATTGATGGTGTGACCTTTATAGACAGGTGATAAATGTGAAGGGGATGACGTTACCTCTAAATACAGGTGAAAGGAGGATATAGGAAGATAAAAGATTAAAGGCTGAAGTCATAGTAATTATAGACAGGTTAGTAGACACTGTCTGAAGCCATGGAGAGTAAATAGAGTTTTAACAGAAACATGATGTACTATTGGTCCGGGCGTACAAACAGAGGCGTGACATCCCAGACCTCACACAAACTGGGGTTCCTGATAGCAGAGGGATGGGTTTGTGTATACAGGAGTATGAATAGGGAAATGCCATTTATATACATTAATCTTTCAATGCAGCCAAGCGTTCGTAGTACACAGGTTAGGATTGGCACAATGATACCTAAATCAGTAATGGCAGTTAGCTGTGTACGTGCCCCAGTCGTAGTATACAGGTTAGGATTGGCATAATGATACCTAAATCAGTAATGGCAGTTAGCTGTGTACGTGCTCCAGTCGTAGTATACAGGTTAGGATTGACATATTGATACTTAAATCAGCAATGGCAGTTAGCTGTGTACGTGCTCCAGTCGTAGTTTACAGGTTAGGATTGACATATTGATACTTAAATCAGCAATGGCAGTTAGCTGTGTACGTGCTCCAGTCGTAGTATACAGGTTAGGATTGGCATAATGATACCTAAATCAGCAATGGCAGTTACTCTTTGCCTTCATTATCAATTAAGGGAACAGCAGGTTCTGGCTAATTAACAGCATACCGAAATGCAATTAATGCTCAACGTAACAAACTACTTATAGTTAATATCGTCGATTATCACGACAAACCGCTGTGACATGTATCAGGGGAGTCCAGCACTATTGATCCACAAATCTGTATGTTTCGATATATAAACAAAGGAATGATTTTGATACGAGCGATTCTTAAGGAGTCAGTAAAGCTCGTCGAGTATAAATGGATTTCCAGTGTTCACTGACCATATCACATATCTCATCAGAACTTGTTTTGTTTCATACAGCTAAGGTAATACGTGACGCAGTGCCCACTCTCAATTTAATCATCTTAAGGCAATAACCTCACCATATTGAAAGGTCACAACTTGGAAACACTAGCTGGTTACGTAACAAGAACATATTACTTGGTATGCCATTATTAAATGTATCTGAAGATTTACCTCCTGTTAGACACAAAATGTGTGTCCGGAGTGAATAAATAATCTTGAATCTTGTAAACTATACACGTTACCTGGTTACATTAACGTACACGTTACCTGGTTACGTTAACTATACACGTTACCTGGTTACGTTAACTATACACGTTACCTGGTTACATTAACTTACACGTTACCTGGTTACATTAACTTACACGTTACCTGGTTACGTTAACTATACACGTTACCTGGTTACGTTAACTATACACGTTACCTAGTTACATTAACTTACACGTTACATGGTTACATTAACTTACACGTTATCTGGTTACGTTAACTATACACGTTACCTGGACGGTACAAGAACGTTTTTTGTGTTATTACAAGTGTAACGTTTTAATGCTAGTACAAGTGTAACGTTTTAGTGCTAGTACAAGTGTAATGTTTTAGTGCTTGTACAAGTGTAACGTTTTAATGCTAGTACAAGTGTAATGTTTTAGCGCTAGTACAAGTGTAACGTTTTAATGCTAGTGCAAGTGTAACGTTTTAATGCTAGTACAAGTGTAATGTTTTAATGCTAGCTGAAGTGTAATGTTTTAATGCTAGTACAAGTGCAACGTTTTAGTGTTTGTACAAGTGTGACGTTTTAATGCTAGTACAAGTGTAACGTTTTAGTTTTTGTACAAGTGTAATGTTTTAATGCTAGTACAAGTGTAACGTTTTAGTGCTAGTACAAGTGTAACGTTTTAGTGCTAGTACAAGTATAACGTTTTTATGCTAGTACAAGTGTAATGTTTTAATGCTAGTTCAAGTGTAACGTTTTAGTGTTTGTACAAGTGTAACGTTTTAATGCTAGTACAAGTGTAATGTTTTAATGCTAGTTCAAGTGTAACGTTTTAATGCTAGTACAAGTGTAACGTTTTAGTGATTGTACAAGTGTACCGTTTTAATGCCAGTACAAGTGTAACGTTTTAATGTTAGTACAAGTGTAACGTTTTAGTGTTTGTACAAGTGTAATGTTTTAATGATAGTACAAGTGTAACGTTTTAGTGTTTGTACAAAACTGTTGCTACTAGATTGACATTAAATGGTGATGCAAATGCCTCGTTTACCAATATTTGAATCGTTGAGTGTGTAAAGTGGTCTTATAGACGTGAAAACGTGAGATAGAATGGGGCCCCCCGGATTATGTAGATTCCAGTGTTCATCCCTTGGTTTAGACGCTCTATTGTGTGTTAAAGACTGGGTGTTTAACTCACACACACACGCAGGTGATATCACTCTTTAAACATGCATCGCATGCAGCCGAGATCAATACGTCAATACAAGCCCACATAATAAACTGCCGGATAACTTACATTATCAAAATCATCTTCAACAATCTATTTGATAATTTGTATAGTTTACTTTAAAATCGGGTCCTATTAAAAGCCACCATCAGAAGACATCCATTTTTCACTGAAGTGCGTAGCCTACACTACCACGCTTTGTGGCAGAAACCTGTTCTCACGGTTAACAGTTTATCATGTATAGAACGCAGGTATGGATCATTTATCATCAAATTTGCTTTTTCAGCAAAAGCCGTGAAAATTTAAGAGCAATGTTATCAATGTGTAATATTAAAATCAATATACACGACTACTAGCGTAACAGCTTGCGAGCAATAGAGAACATATCGATCTTAATGCTAATCTGTATCATCTAAACCCACCGGCCTTGCTTGATGATTAGGAATAGGCATTTTATGAAAGGATATATTACTTTTTAAAATATTCACCCGGTGTTGTGTTTTATGAAAATATGTTCGCTCTAAAGCATTCTGTTATTCACATAACACATAACAGTACAAACAATTAAAAACAAGGTTGATTTAACGAAGAGACTTATTTCAATCCACGTATGGTTCATAGGGTTTAAACGTTGCATGACCGCAGTCCCCTTTATAGGCTGCACTTAGCGTCCAGTACAGGATAGGAGGTAAAACACAGCTCCACGGTGTCGAAAACATTTACAAGAAACGTGATGACATATTTAGGGGTTGATATACATCTTTCTGTATTTACTGAAGATTAGATTACGGTTTTAGAACGAAGAGTTAGCGTCAATATTTATTTTCAATCAAAAGAACATTAAATGCTATTGTTGTGGGGAGTGTGTGTGGTGTGCCTCGTTGTCGCCGCTGTGGTTTGTTAATATTAACATACGGGTCTGTTATTGTCCCAGTTCGTATTGTCCTCGTCAGTGTCCTTGTCAGTGTCCTCGGTATCTTTGTCAACGTCTCGGATTATAAAACTCCCTAGGATTCTGGTACGCGTAGAGGACAGTGATATAACAAGAATGGTCTGCTGCCCCCACTGTGAATATTTAGGACCCCAATCTTTAGGCAGCGTCTCCTTGGACACCTCTGGTTTACCCGTCGTCAGTATAATGTTACTGGGTAGAGACGCCTCTGGTTTACCCGTCGTCAGTATAATGTTACTGGCTAGAGACACCTCTGGTTTACCCGTCGTCAGTATAATGGAGCTGGGTAGAGACAGCCCTGGTTTACCCGTCGTCAGTATAATGTTGCTGGGTAGAGACACCTCTGGTTTACCCGTCGTCAGTATAATGCAGCTGGGTAGAGACACCTCTGGTTTACCCGTCGTCAATATAATGTAGCTGGGTAGAGACACCTCTGGTTTCCCCGTCGTCAGTATAATGTAACTGGGTAGAGACACCTCTGGTTTACCCGTCGTCATTATAATGTAGCTGGGTAGAGACACCTCTGGGTTACCCGTCGTCAGTATAATGTAGCTGGGGAGAGACACCTCTGGTTTACCCGTCGTCAGTATAATGATACTGGGTAGAGACACCTCTGGTTTACCCGTCGTCATTATAATGTAGCTGGGTAGAGACACCTCTGGGTTACCCGTCGTCAGTATAATGTAGCTGGGGAGAGACACCTCTGGTTTACCCGTCGTCAGTATAATGATACTGGGTAGAGACACCTCTGGTTTACCCGTCGTCATTATAATGTAGCTGGGTAGAGACACCTCTGGGTTACCCGTCGTCAGTATAATGTAGCTGGGGAGAGACACCTCTGGTTTACCCGTCGTCAGTATAATGTAACTGGGTAGAGACACCTCTGGTTTACCCGTCGTCAGTTTAATGTAGATGGGTAGAGACAGCCCTGGGTTACCCGTCGTCAGTTTAATGTAGCTGGGTAGAGACAGCCCTGGGTTACCCGTCGTCAGTTTAATGTAGCTGGGTAGAGACAGCCCTGGGTTACCCGTCGTCAGTATAATGCAGCTGGGTAGAGACACCTCTGGTTTACCCGTCGTCATTATAATGTAGCTGGGTAGAGACACCTCTGGGTTACCCGTCGTCAGTATAATGTAGCTGGGGAGAGACACCTCTGGTTTACCCGTCGTCAGTATAATGGAGCTGGGTAGAGACAGCCCTGGTTTACCCGTCGTCAGTATAATGTAGCTTGGTAGAGACACCTCTGGTTTACCCGTCGTCAGTTTAATGTAGTTGGGTAGAGACAGCCCTGGGTTACCCGTCGTCAGTATAATGCAGCTGGGTAGAGACACCTCTGGTTTACCCGTCGTCATTATAATGTAGCTGGGTAGAGACACCTCTGGGTTACCCGTCGTCAGTATAATGTAGCTGGGGAGAGACACCTCTGGTTTACCCGTCGTCAGTATAATGATACTGGGTAGAGACACCTCTGGTTTACCCGTCGTCAGTTTAATGTAGTTGGGTAGAGACAGCCCTGGGTTACCCGTCGTCAGTATAATGTAACTGGGTAGAGACACCTCTGGTTTACCCGTCGTCAGTATAATGTAGCTGGGTAGAGACACCTCTAGTTTACCCGTCGTCAGTTTAATGTAGATGGGTAGAGACAGCCCTGGGTTACCCGTCGTCAGTATAATGTAGCTGGGTAGAGATAATGTTCTCTGCTACTGTGTCCGGGTTGTGACGTGTCAGTGAGATGATACTCTATAGTGACCCAACCATACGTGAACACTGTCTTTATTTTGTTGCGAGAACACAAACCTCTATGGTTTTCTATACTACCGTCATTATATCGTGTTTAGGTGTAAGATCTCAGATAGAACTGCTACTCTGTGGTCTTCCACACAGTAATGGTATTTTGGATAAGTCAGGTTTTCAGTTAATACAGATCAACTGTTACAATAGTTCCGAATAGCTAGTGCTCTGGTATAACAGTACCTCATAACGCATGTCACACCCGAGTTCATTCCTCATCTGTAACATCTGTATCGCTGAGGTAGCTAAGCGCCATCATTTTAAGCACACGCGTTGCAGATCATTGTTATTTTTTAGCTGTCTTGAATAAAAAGGGTATAAAATCCTCCGTCGTGAATATCTACGTCATCATTGCTGAATGGCAGAAATTTTATCTCGAACGTCCCCTCCTCTACGGCTTTCAATACATTTAATTACAACAGGGAGGTCCAACCCCTCCTCAGTCAAATCTGTAAATGGCGCGCGCAGTCAGGCACTTACCAGGACTTCGGCGCTAAAATGTGTAGCGACATGGTTTTAAAACGGTTTTAACATGCATTTTTTATTCTACATTTATAACAAAGCATGAGCAAGATATATTCATCAGAAGGTGGGTTGTGTATAAATGAAAGTTAGAACTCTATATACCAGCTACTCTAGCTAGACGTAATCGATCCTGGGCTTTTAAACCCGTGAAATAATACAGATAAATCCCCCGCGGTGTCCAGCTTAAGTTTGCGGTTTGACGAGGGGGTTTGTTCCGTGTAAATAGTATATAAACTTCAATATAATTTTTGTCAGCCGCTCTAAGACAATAAAAATGTTTAAATTTTTCTTTTCAACTGTATCAAATGATGTGTATTGTTGAATTGGGTATATATGACACTCAGGACGTTGGTATATCGGTTACTGTAATTTGAGAGGAGTCGAGTCGTGGCGCGTTCTAGCACGACAGCTGATAAGCCAAAGCAGTCCTTTTGAACATGCGATGCCTCATACATCAACCTCTGGATCAACATTTCAGCTCGTTCTTGTAATTGAATTACATTTGCAGGTTTATCTTTTCCACATTCTAATAAAGCATATTCTGCGCTAGCACGAATTTATACCAATAACATACAAATGGAATATCACCACTCTGAAAAAATAGATCTATGTCAGCAAGTATTTTTCTTGTGTTCACTCGTATCTAAAAGTTCGTTCATATGTATGCATGCACGTGTTAGTGTATAAGCATGTGAGATAAATTCAGCTGATGTTCATAAAGCTTATTATTATAAGAAAGATATAAAATTTCTTATAAAATATCACATAAGCGTTTTAGATTCTTCCCGTGACAGGAAGAATACTGGAAAATATCTTGAATTTAGTATGCCACAGTCAGAAATCCGCTTCGGTTCATTACAGCATTTAAAGTGTAAGGGATCATATAAAAGTTAAGGGGTCGATTAGACCAATCTCATCACATTGCTTCGTATGTTTTGTTTTATAAAATTCCTTGACGACGCCGTCTACCGGGAGCAATGGAACGAAACCGGTTTTGGTTACAAGTCAGTATGGCTGGTTATAATCTTAGCCAAGTCACATCAAGCAACAATACACTTCGTTGTGACTTTATTGGTCGCGTGTCTGAGGCCATTGTTGTATTTTAAACATGCTCTATTATAACATTGGGGTTGGGAGTAGACACTAACAATGTTCACTTATCAATACGTAAACAACTTGTAATGGTGCGATAACGTATTGTCCGACGACATGCTATACACACTAGGAAAACGCACTGCATTATTAAAATAAAATAGAAAGGAAATATGGAGGTCTCCAATACATTTGTAGCTCTGACAACAGAGAAAAAAATAAGCTAAAACGAGAACTGCTGACGGGGATGATTAGCGTTAAACGTCAGTGAATCAGTTTGCTGAGTAGGTCTTTCAAACAGTTACACAAGATTATACCAATATCGTCCAATCTAAATACAGATTGTAATTATTAGATACATTTCAAGACACAAAAAAATAAGTTCGGGCGAGGTTTATAGATATGTTCCCATCTTTATTAAGATTAAGTGTATATAGTTTGACGGTATGAGGCTTGAGTCAGTGTTGAGATTAAGTGTATATAGTTTGACGGTATGAGGCTTGAGTCAGTGTTAAGATTAAGTGCATATAGTTTGACGGTATGAAGCTTGAGTCAGTGTTAAGATTAAGTGTATATAGTTTGACGGTATGAGGATGAGTCAGTGTTAAGATTAAATGTATATAGTTTGACGGTATGAGGCTTGAGTCAGTGTTAAATTTAAGTGTATATAGGTTGACGGTATGAGGCTTGAGTCAGTGTTGAGATTAAGTGTATATAGTTTGACAGTATGAGGCTTGAGTCAGTGTTAGGATTAGGTGTATATAGTTTGACGGTATGACGCTTAAGTCAGTGTTAAGATTAAGTGTATATAGTTTGACGGTATGAGGATGAGGCAGTGTTAAGATTAAATGTATATAGTTTGTCGGTATGAGGCTTGAGTCAGTGTTGAGATTAAGTGTATATAGTTTGACGGTATGTGGTTTGAGTCAGTGTTAAGATTAAGTTATATAGTTTGACGGTATGAGGCGTGAGTCAGTGTTAAGATTAAGTGTATATAGTTTGACGGTATGAGGCTTGAGTCAGTGTTAGGATTAAGTGTATATAGTTTGACGGTATGAGGCATGAGTCAGTGTTAGGATTAAGTGCATATAGTTTTACGGTATGAGGTTTATATGAGTTTTACCTGCCTTTTAAAGATCAATGTTATTAAACAGTACAATGGTGTTATGATCTAACTGAATGGAAAGTAAGTTACCGCAGGCTACCTAAATGGATAGATCACTCTCCAAAATATCCTAAAAAAACCGAAAGTAACATGGCCCTTCTATACAGATTTAACTTCACCCTGCTGTATCCTCTCCGAGGTCCGGACCCGCACGCTGCTGTATCCTCTCCGAGGTCTGGACCCACACCCTGATATATACTCTCCGAGGTCCGGGCCCGCACGTTGCTGTATCCTCTCCGAGGTCCGGGCCCGCACGCTGCTGTATCCTCTCCGAGGTCCGGACCCACACGCTGCTGTATCGTCTCCGAGGTCCGGGCACGCACGCTGCTGTATCCTCTCCGAGGTCCGGACCCACACGCTGCTGTATCCTCTCCTAGGTCCGGGCCCGCACGCTGCTGTATCCTCTCCGAGGTCCGGGTACGCACGCTGCTGTATCCTCTCCGAGGTCGTGACCCATACGCTGCTGTATCCTCTCCGAGGTCCGGACCCACACGCTGCTGTATCCTCTTCGAGATCCGGGCCCGCACGCTGCTGTATCCTCTCCGAGGTCCGGACCCGCACGCTGCTGTATCCTCGCCGAGGTCCGGACCCACACGCTGCTGTATCCTCTCCGAGGTCCGGACCCACACGCTGCTGTATCCTCTCCGAGGTCCGCCCACACGCGATGGTCCTCTCCGAGGCCCGGACCCACACGCTGCTGTATCCTCTCCGAGGTCCGGACCCACACCCTGATGTACCCTCTCCGAGGTCCGGACCCACACGCTAGTCTACACAGATAGGTTTGAATGACAGTTTAAGTTTTGTCGGTGCCAACACCCCATAACGACGACGTCAGATGTTCTTGTTTTGGGTGTTTGATAGCCGTTACATTGACTCGCGTGAGACGGACGTCGGAAGTATTTACATAAAAAAGCCTTAGGCCTTGACAGCAACCACACAGAAATTGGCCACATCTTGCATTTCCAGATTTTGCAAATAAGACTAAAGGAGATATTACATCACTCGAGAATTAATTAACAATTTATGATTACAGAATTCAAAAGCTTTGTACCTGATGCTCAAGCAATTGAAATGTGTAATCTTCTAAAAGAAAAAAAAGATAAACAAAAAAGACAGGTTTTATTAATTGGTACGGTTTTGGTCTAACAAGATTTGGAGCAAAGCTTTACTTAGTCATTGTACCGCCGTGTTACTCTGATCATCAGCGATAAGACGAGACGGCGGGGGATGGAGGAGGGGGAGGAGGAAATACCAACATGTGGGAAGTATTAATATTTCTTGAATGAAGTAGAAGGCATATTTTGATGCTGGTCGTCCGTTGTTGTTGTGCGGATATGTATGTATAGACTGTTACAAAGTGGCTGGAAATGTTCACATACACTTGGCTATGTTTTCTGTCTACAGACACCGACAATAGGCACTCGGTAAATCAGCGATGGACATTTACCCCTCATTCAGTCGTATCTCCGGGTCCTGAAATCCTTCCGCAGTGTTGCTGTACGTACATAAACGAGTTTGAAATTCGGAGAAGATTGCTTTAGCCTTCTTTTTATACCATAAACTTTGCTCAAATGAAAACATTGTGAAAACTATTATAAATATTGCCATGGCGATCTTAGTTATCCATATGCTAATTCACGCCAATGTTTACGTTTTGCACTGTAAATATTCTTTTCACCAATAAACCCATTTTAGAATTAATTGATATGAGATCTAGGCATTGTAATGTGTTCGTAGAGTGTTGATTGTTGTCCAGTTTATGGCGCCGAATTGCTCTTTAGGATATTGTCTTACAAGCTAAACCGATTAACCTATCTGGTCAAGCTGCGACTTCGTTGAGCTAACTTCTAGAAAGATGCTACGTCGGATACCAATGCACGTCTCCAACATTACCTTAGCCCCAGTTTGTGCCTTTAAAGGCTAATACGCTGTACGACATTTAGACCACCACCGAGGACTAATTCTGATGTCCGTAGACCGGATGCTGCACGACAGGATCGCCACTAACGACTATATCCACAACATCCTGATGGGGAATGGCATGTGGTCCCATTCATGGAAATATATCTGTACAGCATGGATGGACGAATTGATTTAAACTCCTTTATATCTTATTGTGGTACAATTATCATACTGGCATGTTTGTGTGATGTGAACTGGAAGTAACAGGTTGAAACCAAGATATGCAACAAGAACAAAATACATACCACAATGGATAAGGGTTTATGACGGGGACAGCAATGTGGGAAACACAATGGCTGACAGGGACAAGGGAATAATAAATTAGGGCTATATCCCCCGAGGGAGCTTTTGTATCACAGCCGACTTGAAGAACGGACTTTGAGGTGAAAGGGAAACTCAAAAGACACGAGCTACATGCAGGAATTCAGAGCGCACTTGGATGTGACTTGGGAGCCCCAGAGCTACGGGAAACGTAGAGAAAAGATAAAGAAGATATGATATTTTTCGCACAAATTGACATTGAATGAGAAAGCGAATTCAAATCGAGACAAAAATATATTCTTTTTAGTTAGCTGTACCGGTAAGTAACATGATCGAATTCAAGACAAGACAATGTTGTTTTTTTAAGGCGGAAAAATGCCGTTTACAGTAGTGACTAGACTTTGGGGAATGAAATGTTGTCTCTTAATGAAAACTCATAGATCGTGTATCCTGTTGCGGCTTAACGAATGTAGCAGGCTATCTGCACATTGAAGCTAACATCGATTAGAATCGCCATGTTCTTAATTGGTCGATAAGCATAAACGATGCCCATCGACCCGCTTCGCCTGGCAAGTGAAAGAGCAACAATCCATCCTGGTCCGACTTCGCCATATTTTAGTGTAGGCCCTACATCGTGCCGACATCTCTCTCAGCCTACATCAGTCACCCCTAGGAATGCCAAGACCACTATATCAAGTTTGTTTAGCACATTTCAAGAATGAATTCATCATTAGCCGAAAACAAAGAATGAAGATGGCGCTTTACTTCTTTCCACCTGCAGTAAATAATACCTCTAATATTGGTGAACAAACGACGTTCTGGTCGCCTAACTTATCACTCCATGTTAAGGTATATAACTGGCTCAAACAGGATTTACGATATTTATGTGATGAGATTGTAAAAAGCTTTTAATCAAGGGACCATTATTGTACATGATTGTTATGATATCAGATGTATCTTTTTCTTTTTGCTTCTGTAAACGGTATAAAGGCTAGGCGTATGTCCTATGAGGGACGGTATCGCGGTGTCTCTAACACGGTAACAAGCGTATGTGAGTCAAACGGAAATTACGTATTCGGACTGTATTAAAAATAGGTCGTTAAATGTTTGTATAAAAGGGCATCAATTACATGTACCTTACATGCTTTTTATCTGAATCCTGTTTTGTTTAGATTTATATAATTTTCCTATAAAAAAGGCATGTCTCATGTAGCAAAATTACATCACTCAGAAACTACTGTCAACCACTAAAGCGATGCCGTGTCCTTTATTTTCATACTACTGTTAATCATATTCCATGTTTAAGTATTTTTCCTGCACTAGAATTATTAATACTGGATAAGTATATATAGCATATTCTAATTGAGAACGTGATTTTGTGGGAATTCTATAGACATGCAACGCTCTATATTTGGTGTTTGCAAATCTTTTAAGCTATTTGCTATAAGTGAACAATGAGAAATTTTAAAAAGAATTTGAGTGCATCCTTGATGATTTTAATGCACTTTTGGCTATTGCTGTGAGCACGCTTTGATTTTTGCGTTGTGAAATTAGCAAATTTTACCCTTGAAAGGTATAACATGTTATAGATGTTGTCGTACATTCGTATTGTTATCTTCATCGTTCATTTTAGGGTTGATTCGAAACGTCTAGCAAATGTTTTAGAGTGATGTCCTCAGAAATCACATACTGAAGTATTGTCTTGTCAGGTTTAACACCTAACCGATTGCTGCTGTGAAATATTTAGCACACATTGTGGTGTTGCCATGAGTTGTTTAGCACACATTGTGGTGTTGTCATGAGAGGTTTAGCACACATTGTGGTGTTGCCATGAGAGGTTTAGCACATACGAGTGGCGCCTTGATAGGTTTAGCATAAACATGTTTATCTGATCGTTGCCTTGAAATATTTGACACACCTTTGTGTGTTGCCGTGCGGTAGTTAGAACATAGTATAGGTGTTGCCATTATCTCCCTTGTCTCTCTCCTTTTCTCTCTTTTAAACTGTAAAAAGTTTTCCTGTCAGATTCGAACTCCTTTCCACATCTATTGAGTGCCGTATCTTCTTCGCCAGGCTGTACGCAACGAGTTAGAACTGTTTAATTAAGTTTACCTAGGGAAACGAGTAGTTCCGGAAACATCGCGAACCTGTCCTCTGGACCGCTCCTAAAACTACTGAACACACGGCAATTTTTCGCGGTGGTGTTGTTTTCTCGGTAAGTGATTCTGCGATTTTAACATATCACTGCGTTCACACATAATAAGATAAGTGGTGTACAGTGCACGGTTGGGGAGAAATCCACTCTCGTGAGGTTCCAGTAAATCCGTCCATGTTTTAACAAGTAAATATATTTATTTATGTCGGTAAGGATCCATGATACAGAAGCACAAAGTTAAATACTTCAGTAACACAAATATTGATCACAATGGCATGTGTGCTGAGAAGATAAAAGACAAAGGTTTGGCTTGTTTTCGTCTTATGATGTACATATGATTACTGTGTCTTTCTGATAAACGTCTCAGATAACCTAGAAACCCTGGTGATATCTGTCATTTTTAGCGTTTCTGGGCTACGACACTATAAACATTCTTCCCGGATGTTTATGAAATCAAAGTGAATTTCATTAAAAGCTTTGCATTTCAATTGACAGCACAGTGACGTCACGTAGTCTCAGGAAAGCTCGTAAAAAGGTCATGCATTTTTATCCGTAATGTCAACTTCCTGTGTCTGACCATAGTTGGAGATGACAGGAGAAGTACGTGGAGATTGCGTTAAATGTGTTGAGGTCTATTTATAGGGTGTAGATAATACATCGGCGTCCGTATATATATATAACACACCTGTAATTGGACAAGGCATGTGTCTAAAAGGGTACCTTTTAAAACGAGGTCGGTGAATGATGACGTTATCGGAAAATATTCAAGAACGTTTTCGTAAAAGTTGATGATGCCATACAGGAACACTCGTAACAAAGATCCGGAAATAGTTGTTACATTGCATCAGTGGCGCGTGACAAATTCCTTAGAATCATAAAGTATTTATAGAAAAGGGCGTGCGGCAGTTTTCTGATGAAGTCGTTTCTGTATAAGATGACAATTAATGGAAATGATTGTTTACCGTGAAACTATCAGCCGATTTCCGGATTAAATAACAGTATGTAGAGTGAAGTACATTATACAACATGTGCGTTCAAAATGCACACGTTTTACGATGGCTGTCTAACATTGAATTTCTATGCTTAAAACATAAAAAAAAAAATGTTGTGAGAAATTTTTATTGAACATTTGTTTTGAGTTATACATTTTTCAGTCATTTTTGACGGGTTATACTTCTTTTCAATATTTTGTTTGTTTGTAATAAACCTTTTCAATAAGTGTTGTGGGTAAGACTTTATTTTGAATATTTTTGTGTGTGTTATATTTATTAACAATAGGTTTTGTTGGTAATTCTTATTTTCGATCATTTTTGTGGGAAATTCTTATTTCAATATTTATTTTGGGAGATAATGATAATTGATTAGTATGGTACACTTGTATTTAGACAT